GTGATAATGAACAATGCAAGCAGATCGGTCCACCAATCAAAGAAACACGAGTTGGTTGAAAGAAGCTTCTAGATAAAACAAAGCTATAAAGTGTATAGTTCACATGGGTTAAACTCACTTTCTCAGTGGTAAGATGTATTGAGCAAATTGCATCATCAATTTTTCCTTGCTTTGTTCGTCGACAAGAAGAATCAGAGAACGACAACCCGGCTTCAGCAGACGAATCATACCAAAGTAGCTTTCGGCTCGTAATTCGTGTATGTGCGGATTCATTATAGATAATGCCCTACAACAAATTTCCTCAAAACAATACAGTATAGACAAAGATATTCAGTTCAACAGTATACAGAAGGATGAGAAATATTACCTTTGCAACCTCGTCTGTGGATTCGGTTTCGCAGGCGGATCCGTCTTAGCATGTGGATCCTCTGGATGCCATTCCTCCGTGTGGAAGTGCTTGGTCTTTTCCTCAAATTAAAATTTTAGGCATACACTCTATCGGAAATTGCGTCAAACCCCACCTTTTTGGGTCTTGATTCTTGATTCATATAATTTAAGCCGTAACCAATAATAAGGATAACCAAGAAGGTGGCTACAGCAGACAGCACAGGATACGCCTCCTCCTTGGTGAGATGGAACCAAGCTGCCTGCACCATCCGTACTAGTGCACGGCACATTCGAGTCCACCATGAAGGCGCGTACTCGTTTATCTGAGCGAAACCATGGTATTCTTTTTTAACTGAATATTATAAATCAGCGTGCAACTCACCATGTTGCCAACAGGAGCAATTTGATCAAGGCGGGTTGTTTGCGAAATTACAGAACCCAGTAGAGTTTCAAACTCATCAACGCTTTCACCCCAAGCACCTTCTAGCCATTTGAATTTCGCCTTTAGATGCTCCATGCGCCACATAACGAGTACATCTCGTGCATTCGCCTACATTATGAAAATGTTACTGAGAATAAAACTGCATTTCATTGAGCTTTCCTCTATTTCTCAATGAGGTGTACAGGAAAATAAACTGAAGCGTACTCATTGTCGCTAGTGATATTCAATTGATTTGCGCCCTTGAAGTACAAATCCCTAGTTGCAAAAGCTTTAGTTGCTCTCAAGGAAATTATAAAAAACATCAAAATAGTATTGATGTTCCATTCAAAATATATGCCAATCTCAAGAAACAGTAGAGCCGCGTGAGCTCGTCAACTTTTCTTTTTCGACATTCCTCGGAATACCAGCAAATCTTCAAAACTTGAGGAACTTTAAGAGAAAGCAAAACTATTTCAGGAGGCAGGATTTGTAAAAGTACAGCACAAGGAGATAGAATATCACCCACAATGCTGTTTTGCTTTAAACTAGTTTTGTGAAGAGACAAATCATTTGCAAATTTTCCTCAAAGACAGCGTAACCTTTGTGATAATGCTGACACAGTATAAGCAGGGCACTTCTAATGTTGTGGTGCTCCCTAATCAAAGAAATCATAAAATATGAACATTTCAAAA